CTTAGAAGGTCCTCCTCGGATGTTGTCTAGCACACAGTCTTACACCCCAGCATCACAACATACGTGAGAGACGATGAACTCGCGGGGTTGACGGTACGCGCAACAATGAAGATTTGTATCCTTCGGCAATTCTCTCCAGAGCTGTTCTTCCTGCTACGTAACTGAGCCAATCGTATTCTTTCTTTCGTGGCGCTGCGACTGACAACGGCCATGTGTTCCTCGGCATAATAGCAACTCGGGCCCATTCCTCGGTCGTGTCAGGCCCGTTCCACCTTGATCATTCAATGAGATGAACTTGTTGAGGCTCATCTCCCAGCATCATTGAACCTGTCACTCTGTTGGAAGCTTCAATTCCGATTTTCTGGAGATCAGAGTGCGCTGCTCCCACTTTTGGAGTCCGACGTCAAAATTTCGGTAAATATTCAGAAAAACGGAGCACCTTCGGAGGTTAATGACCTTAACATATGTTGTCAAGGACACTTTCCTGAACAACAATCTGCAACTTTTAGCCTTTGCTCGTTGTTCGTTAAAAAATTATAAACAAAAGAAATCATAAATGAACTCTTATTTTCCGACACCGTGTACATTTTGTTTGTGTTGTAAGCGTGTAGGCAGGAGGAGGGGCTTCGCTCCTCCCCCCTGCTCCTCCTTCACGAAAAAATGATGGCATATAACAACATCAATATGCACGGTTACACTCACCATACAGTAAATCACAAAAAAAATTTCGTAGATCTTCATACTAATTGTCACACGTAAAACATCAAAAGAATTTGGTGAGAAGTAATATTCCACGTTTATAATATTTATGCGTAATATTTATGCGAAGTAATATTTCACGTTTTGGGACATCGGTAGAACATTAATTGTTAATTGAATTAATTGTTAATTGAATTCTTCACTTGACGCTTAATTGAATTCTTCATTTTTTTGTGAGGGGATAGCAGAGGAGAGGAGCAAAACCCCTTCCCCTGCGGGGGGCGCAGTTCCCCCTGCCTACACGCTAACAACACAAACAAAATGTACATAGTGTCGGAAAATAAGAGTTTATTTATGATATTTCTTTTGTTTATAATTTTTTAACAAACAACGAGCGACGGCTAAAAGTTGCAGATTGTTGTCCAGGAAGGTATTCATAACAACATGTTAAAGTCATTGACCTCCGAGAGCTCCGTTTTTCTGAATATTTACCAAAATTTCTGCCGAATATCCTAGGCCGGTAACGCCTCACGCCCCTGGACCTCGTGTTATCTCTATCTTATCTCTTTCTCGCTCTTCTCTACCTGTCGGTCACGTACAGTGTGTTGCTCTCTTCACGCTGAAAATAACTTACAAAATAGCCGCTGAGCGGCATATTACAATACGCAAAAATATCGCAAACCCAAAGTAAGCGCATTTGCCTGTGCTACGCAATCTAATGAGCTGCTCTCCCTCAAATAGGTAGTAGGGAAACTCGAGCTCACCGCCTCCTGTGCCGGCCGGAAATGCATCCTTGTGATGGATACAAAAAGTGTCACGTCACACTATATGTACGTATGAATATATATACGTGGTCACAAGTAAATGTTTACAAGTGAGTTATTTGAATTGATATTTCAATTTATTAAATCATATAAGATGCTAGATTTGCAACTGGTATATGAAGGAGTCCAAATACTCTCTCAAAACTAAGTTAAAATATTGCAAAAAAACTCTTCAGCCAGGAGTCGAATCAACGAAATATATATATATAGGGTCTTACATATTTCGTTGAAATTTTCATAAAGCCTTAAATTTATTAACAGAACTTATAACAGAATTTATTTTCTGTTAGGTAAATATGCATTTTAGGTCACACATCTCCGATTTCGATGTGCTTCAGATATGTTGTAGGGTAGGTCATATCGAGTAATTATGTGAAAAAATTTCGTGGGGGACGGCCTTGGTTTAACAGATATGGCAGTTCAAAGTTTCGGAACAATATTAGTATTTTTGTTCTTTTTGTTCGCGTTTGAAGCGCGTAGGCAGGGGGCTGCGCCCCCCCTGCAACTTCCTCAAACCTAATTTAACTTAACCTCTAAAAGAAGCTTTTCACAAGAAGCGAATGTAATTGGAAATTGTTATTTTTTTCCGAGGGGGGTTACGACTTTCGATTACATTCGCTTTTTGTGAAAAGTTGGTACTTGATTTTCAAGGAGGGAAGCACGGGGAGAGGCAAAGCCCCTTTCAGAGGGTAGGTTAGGTTAGGGTTTGGGGGAGGAGTGCAGGGGGGGCGCAGCCCTGCTTACGCGCTTCAAACGCGAACAAAATGTACGTGGGACCGAAAAATAAGAATTCATTCGTGAAACTTCTTCCCCTTGTAACTTTTTAACAAACAACGACCCCCGCCTAAAACCTTCACATTATTACTCGGGACAATGACCTTCACAACATATATAAAAATTATTGAAATAGGAGGTCGCTCCTCTAAACTCAACTGTTCGTAATAACAGCTTGTAATATCTAGAATAAAGCATTAAAATTCTGAAACTTCAAATTGCCATATCTCCTAAACTAAGGCCGTTCCCCACAAAATTTTTCCACACAATCACTCAGTATGACCTGCCCTACAACATATCTGAAGCGCAAAGAAATCGGTGATGTGTGACCTAAAATGCATAATTACCTTCTGTTATTCTTCTTTGTTGTTGTTGTTGTAATAATCAACAAATTGATGCATGATTCTGTTATAAGTTATAAGCAATAAATTCTGTTATAAGTTCTTAATACTGCCGGTTGACGCAAAACATTAAGACGTAAAGACGAAGTCACCGTATGAGATACATCTTAAGTTGTTTTTGCAAGAACGTAGCATTGCAAGAATGACTGATTATCTACCCACGAAAATTGTAGACATAATAATTGAATATGGCAGAAGTAATGAAAATGCTAGAGAATGTACTTGTCTTTATGCACTTCGATTTCCAAATCGTCGACATCCTTTTTGCCAATTTCAAATCTTAGAGCATGTGAGTGTCGATTGAAACGTCAACGAAAGAAAAAAGATCGCACAGAGGAAACCGCGTTGCATATCGCTATTTTGGAGATGGTTGCATTCAACCCTCATGTAAGTTAGCGCAGAATCAGCCTTGAATTGCACACTTTTCTTTCTACGGTAAACCGAGTTTTAAGGACGAATCACTTCCACCCATACCACATTGAAAGACATCAAGCTTTGACTGATGATCAGAAAGGGGTACGCGTTCAATTTTGTCGGTGGGCTTTGCAAAGACTGGAAGAAGATAACATGTTTTTCGACAGGATGCTTTTTAGCGATGAGGCCTCATTCCACAATAGCGGAGATCTCAATCGCCACAACTGCCATTACTATTCAGATGTTAATCCGTTTTGGTTACGTCGCGTAGACAATCAGCACCAATGGAGAGTCAATGCTTGGTGCGGAATATTGGATGGGCAAATTGTTGGACCACTCCTTTTTAATGCCAATTTAAACGGAGCGATGTACCTGCAGTTTTTGCAAACTGATCTATAAGAGTTGATAGAAGACATCAATTTGCAAACTCGCAGAGGTATGTAGTTCTAACACGATGGCGCCCCGGCACACTGCGGGTGTTGTCCGCGATTATTTAAATGAAAGTTTTCCTCAACGTTGGATAGGCAGAAATGGTTTCATTCGCTGGCCACCGAATTCACCAGACTTAACACCGTGCGATTATTTTTTATGAGGTTACGTGAAAGGGATTGTTTTTGCTACAGAGTCAACAACCGATGACATGCAGAATCGCATACGTAATGCAATAGCACTAATTCCTGAAGAAATGTTACAAAAAACGACGCTTTCACTTCAGCGTCGATTGTACATGTGCCTAACCGTTGAAGGAGACGTTTTTGAACATCTCCTGTAATGTTAGTCTGATGCGTAGTAAGAGGCAAGGGGACTCACTGTAATCAAGCACCCCGATGGGATCAAATTTTCGTCACGTTCACGCCGTTGATTCCGGGTAACTCTAAGAACGAAAAATGTTCATGAACATGTACAAATTGATGCATGATTCTCTTTATGAAAAACAAACATTTTTTCTTTAATTGCTAAATTTCCTCAAAAATTATGGATTTTCATGAAAAACATGTCAGACAATTTTAACGCAGAATTTTATGTTATTTTAGAATATGCAATACAAAATACTACATTCTATTTAAAAAAATAAAGTTGACCTTCATATGACCTTCAGTTTTACCTTCATCAAAAACTCAAGCCCACCATCTTGTGTCTCGCTTCGAATCCTACAACTGTTGTCTGTAACATTTTTCTTTAAACTCATCAGCGTTTGAAATATTCGCCTGGCTAGAATAAAATGAAACATCCTGTATATATACATATAGTGTACTATATTGTTGCCCGCATAACGTTACAAATATATATATGCGGTCCGAGGAAAAGAAAACTTAAGTATGGCTGATCTAAAGTAAATAGATTTAAGATAGCGGTGAGTTTTCGTAGATAGCGCGTAATGACATGCAATATTGAATTTCGGAGCATGTGTAATTTTTCCCATTTCTTGTTCTACAAGGCCCGTTTTGATTATTATTAACACTACTGAAAATCTATAAGTTCACGTTACGTATCTTATAGAATTTTCAGTAATGTCAGTACTAACCGAACAAGAGAGAAATCACAGCAAGTGATTCGGATTGAAGTAGAGGATAAGTCGAGTTAATAGTTTTTAAAATAATGCAAGAATTACGTCGCGAGAGATTGCTGTAACAACAGTTACATAGTGATATTTTTTAGTTATTTTGATATAACAACAGCTATTCTACCGAGTTTTTAATTAAGTCTAAAATCATAAATTATAATAATTTTTTATATTTTTTATATTTTTTTTTACTTTTTATTTGTTTCTCATTGAAAACGGTAAAATGGAGACAAGGTAGCGTCTGGCACTATTAACTTTCCTTTATTACGCAATGCATATTTCTTTTTTTATTGTCATTTCTTTCAAAAGAATTCTAAACATAAAATGAGAAATTTATTATTGAAGGATTAAAACATGTCAATGCAGCGAGAAAACATGGTTTCCGCCGTTTAAGATGATGCTGAACTGTCCTGTTTTACTAACCCTTTCTTTGCACAACTTACTCTGGATCTATTGATTGGAATGAAAAACGCCCTAAAACAAAAGAAAATATGCTAAAATATACCCCAGATAAAAATCAACAAGAAAAACAAAAAAAGTTTATGAACTGTTACCACGTAAACATTTTCACTTCGTATACAAAAGTGGCAGTATGAATCACAACAAAACTTTTCCGGGCCATCTACAAACATAAACATAAATATTTTGACTGTTTTTGAAATAAATTGTGAAGCTTAAAAAAAGAGAAAATGTGACAATAAGATTAGTGCAGATTTAGCAGAATCATCGGAAAGACACATACGTCTATCCTTGTCTTTTTCATGTCATCTATCCTTGTTTTGGTTCAACCCGGTCTCGAAAGATGGTATCACTTACACGAAAGCATAGCGGCTGAGTGGCAGCTGAATCAAAGATTACTTGTCGGTTCAGTATTCTCTTAATACCTGGCACTTTTTTATTTTTCCTTTTGCAAAATTTCTCCCACTTTACAATTGTCTCATTGTGGCGTAATAGTGCAACAATCAGCGTTTATTTTATCGTAAAAGACTCGATGTGTCGGTAAGAAGAAAGAACAAAGCAGAAGAGTTAAAGTTGGACTATACATAACAGTAGCATCAATAAACTGTTATTATTAGTGCCAACATAAACCATTCCTACATAGATGTTGTGACTGCTTTTATTAATAATTCTTACAAATTCTTATGTAGAATAACACAGGCGGCACAAACAAGTCACATCTCGTTTTCCCGACCAATTTATCTCAGATTTACGCAGATTGAGCGCCAGGTACGCAAAGTATACCACTGAAGTCACAAATACTCGACGGGAAAAATTTCGGAAGACGTGACAAACGCGAAAGATACCGCCTCCGACCGCTCAGCAAAATTATAAACGGAGAGGCGGGGTTTGTGAACGGGATATGGTAAATAAAAAGAGAGACAAACTAGCCACATTACCAGAGAGAATAACAACAAATTTATTATGATATTGCGCGATACAATCTAAGATCAGAATTGCAAACTCTGGCCGGCTAGCAACAAAAATACCGAGATAGTAGGGGCACGCACTCAAGCGAGAACTTATGGTGTGCGTGTCCCCACTACCTCGATGTTCTTGTTGCTAGTCGGCCAGAGTTTGCAACTCTGTCTAAGATGCCAGAGTGGACGTGGCGGAACGTCGATCTAACGCGAAATATAACGATTAATTCTATTGATCAAACGCTGTATCGTAAATGACATCAGGTACGCTTCACGGACGAAATTACGCGAGACTTAGACGCATACGAAGTGACTGTCCGATTGCCGTTTTAGAGAGAGCGGAACGCAGAATACACACTCGTAACACGCGATCTTGCACTTGCGTGGTTAGCGACGAAATTCGTGATTTGCGACACAAAATATACCACAAAAAGTATAAACCGAATTGGCAGCTTTACAAGCTGTCTCATTGATACGCTATAAACCTGACTTCTTGGTGGGTCCTCGCTGTGGAAAAGATCGTCGGATCGTCGCACTACTTCCACTAGAACTGAAACTTTTGTTGCTAATGTCCTTTCGAGATCGCGACTCACGGAACAGTAACGGAAATTGATCCTGTGCGAGAGCATCAGTTGTGCGGCGCTGCGTATCGCGACCTCGACCTCTTACGACGCGTTATTGACCTATCAGGCTGTGATCGCGCGTCGGGCCGCTAATTCACTAGCGGGATCTACTATGACAACGCAGCGTCTTCTCAAATATTTGGATGCGACCGAGAACTTCTCTTACTAAAAAGATCTTTCGATCTTGATCGTCTCGTCTTGCTATGTGCTCGATAACGGGTATATCTCTATTTCAGGCGCAGGAAGTCAGGTCAGGACTTTTCCGCAGGAGAAGAAATTCCGGTTCTCCGTGAAGTTTTTCGACACATGGTGTCGGTATGTCCGGCAAGCACTTTTTTTTGTCTAGCTTCATATTACGCTCTTTCAGATCTGATGTTGCCCTCCTGCCTTTCTCATCTCAGTTCTAAATGACTACCGATGAGTGACGAGCTGCCTTACAATCTGCTTATCGCCAAATTCTACAAATACATGCGCTTCCCGGCGTCGCAAGAATGCAATTGTAACACGAGATACGCAATTCTCATTGTCCTGAGAATACGACCAAATGACGATCAATTTTTTTGTACAATCTAACGCAAAATTATACAAAAATAGACACCGAGATCTACAAAATAGAACAAAATAGATCAAAATAAAACAAGATAAAGACGGAAATCGCTCTCTCTTTAATTGCAGAGATCTCGAGAGGACACAACTTCCCGTCTTTCTACAAAACTTTGTTATTAGTTACTTAAGTGATTGGTGCCAGAAGGGCACGTCACAATGTATAATAGAGACATTTGCATTAACCGTCAACAAAATGACTGTAATTATCTATACAATTTTTAACGCTTAGTTAATGTGATAGTGACGTTACATAATGTAAATAACTTCCTTGGCACCAACTTTTTTTAAAACAAAAAGATGCACTTGCAATAAAAGATGCCATTTTGAAGAAGCATGGAATTGTTTGTTGACGAGTTAAGATGCTTAAATGTGCGATATGTCATAAAAAGTTACATAAATAAAGAAAACTTAACTCACACACCTGAAATAGATTATAACCTTTATCATACATCCACATCTCGTCTGCCGGATGTTCCTTTGGGCTTTCCCGGTGGTCAGTGTTCGTAACATAAAAAGGTGGACCTCTAGTTAATTGTATCGCTAAGGACCTCTGCAGGAGCAAAAGGCATCTGGAAGATCCAGAACTTCCAGGACCCGTGCCGTCTCCTAAGATCGACGCCATTATTAGAATCTGTCACTAACGTCGATAACACAGCGATGACATTACGAAATCTGTAACAAGAAATAGAAAAATATTTTTTAAAACTATTATATCTGTATGTTATATCTGTATTGTTATTTCTTAAATTGAAAGAGAAATTAAGTAGTAAAAAGATTAGTTATTAGTTAATTAAATTAATTGCTTTGTCAAACAATAATAAGAGTGCAAAATGTAGAATAACAATACTCTTTGTAGAAAAACGTAAAATGATACTAAGTTTTTACGTGTTATTGTTAAATATACATATAATAAAAACTGTAGATGTGCGCTTAATAACGAAATATACAGGGTGTTTGACAACGAACTATAAAGCCGATGTGTGTAGGTAGATCGAGTTATTCTGAACAGAAAAGTTATTTACTATTTTGAAAAAATCGCAATAGTTATTGAAATATGAATTAATAAATGTAAGCCAATGAGAGCGCGGGGAGCGATGATCGGACTCTATAGGCGTGCACAATTATCAGCTGTACTCCTCGCTCGCCGCTGCTCGCTACGTACCGCCGAATAGCGCCCGAATAGCGCAAGAAACTGAGTCGTGCCGCACTTGTTTGTTTACTCCGCCTCTCGTTACTAAGACATTACATGAGAGAAGCTATTTTTCTTTTCATCTGATAATCGTGCACGCCTATAGAGTCCGATCATCGTTCCCCGCGTCTTCATTGGCTCACATTTAGTAATTCATATCTCAATAAATATTGCGAAGTTTGCAAAATGGTATATAACTTTTCTGTTCAGAATGACCCGATCTATCTACACACGTCGGCTTTATAGTTCGTTGTCAGACACCCTGTATAAAAGAAGGCATTGAAATGGCTGTTGAAGCAAACCACAGAAGTTGTGGTGTGTAGGTGTAATTCTTGGTTTTGGTGGTCTATCCACCATCAGTTGCGTTACACTCTTTACAACTACAATGACGATCATTACTGCATTTCTTTGTAAGTTTTTAACAATGTTTTCTAATACTTTATTAATTTAATTTACGACCAACATGTTCTTAATTGTTCTTAGAAAGAGAGAATATTGAGAAATACCTAAACCGAAGATCAAAACGTCTATTTTACACCAATGTTTTTTTAATAAACCAAGAATTACATCTACACACCACAACTTCTGTGTTTTGCTTCAACAGCTATTTCAATGCCTTCTTTTAAATAATTTGGAGCGTATTGCCTTTTAATGAAATATATAAACTTCTGTGAAATGCAACGAAAACATCATCAAGTGTTTTATTAGAAGCTCAGTTATTCTTATTGCTATACCATAAAAGAAAAGATAAAGCAAATTCATCATACTATTATATTAAGTTCATAGGTAAATATTGACAATAACAAACCACTTTCCGATGACCTTGATCTTAACATATGTTGTCAAGGTCATAACTCTGAGTAACATACAAAAGGTTTTAGCCGTCGCTCGTTGTTTATTAAAAAGTTATTACCAAAAAATAATTCTTTTGTGCGCTTGCATCTAAGCATATACACTCGGTGTCATGGATTTGTGGATACGGAGGACTAGGAGTAAGAGGGACGGTATTCTTTAGAAGCAAGTAGCGCCAACGGTTGCCGTGTCGATAATGTCAATGTTTTCCTTGACTAATTGGGTCTCAAAACGTAAAACTATTGACCATTTAATAGCCAATGTTTCACAAATACATATACAGGGTGTTTCAGAACTATGGGATCAAACTTCTAGGGGTTATT